TCGATCGGTACTCGTAATGCTTGAGCAGCAATCTGTACCATCTTTGTGTGTAGTCCTTGTCCCATCTCGGTTCCTCCATGGGCAACTGTGATTTGTTAGCAGTGTTCTTCAAGAGTATGAACCGTGCAACATACCTAAAATCGAGCCGTCGTGATAAATATGAACCAATGCGCCGGCTTGGTTCAAGAACAGGGCAGTAAAGGAAATTCCAAACTTGGTGGGTATCAGGGCAAGTCCTCGTTGCCGCCACTTGTTGGATTCGTTAAACTTGGCAATAGCCTCTCTCCTCTGGCTGTATCGAGACTCATCCTGAACTTGCTGGTACATCAACGGAACGAACCAGTCAGTAAGCTTCTGGTTAAAGTGAGTGCTTTCGTCATCTTTGTAAAAATTGATCTCGCGTAGCCTCTCGACCGGCATCCCCAGTCGATCGGCCACCTCCTCCATCCACGTCTCAGCAATGAACATTCCTTGGGGACCACCGAATCCTCGGAATGCCGTGTTGGACATGGTATTCGTCTTGCAGAGGCGGCCCCGAAGCAAGACGTTGGGAATCTTGTAGCAGCCGTCTGAATGTGTCATTGCTCGCTCGCACACGGCATGAGATAAATCAATCGTGTGCCCAGCATTGTTGTAGATGTTGCATTCGAGGGCTTGGATCTTGCCATCCTTGTTCACTCCAACCTTGTACTTGGCAAGGAATGGGTGGCGTTGTCCCATTAGCATCATGTCCTCCTCTCGAGTGAGCATGTACCGTACAGGCCTCCCAGTCTTCTTCCCTGCCAAGGCTAAAGCAGACGAAAGCAATATCGATCTCGTCTCCTTTCCTCCAAACCCACCACCAAGTCTCTTTACGCGAACGTTGATCTTATTTGCTTGCACGCCGCACACACGTGCTGCAAATACCTGCGTCTCGTTGGCATTCTGGGTGCTTGCAAAGATCTCCATCTCGCCGTCCTCAGGCTTTGGCACGACAAGGGATGCGTTGGTCTCAAAGTAAAAATGCTCCTGGCCTCCCATCCGGACTGATCCAGTGAAGATGTGATCGGAGTCCTTGAATCCCTGTTCTGTATCGCCATTTTTTATCTCCCGATAAACGTTGTGGAAACTCTCCTGCTCGATGGCCTCCTCCATCGTGAGAATCGCCGGTAGGTCTTCGTATTCCACCTTGACAGCCCTCGCCGCGTCCCGCGCGCGGTTAGCGGTCGTAGCCAAGATCAAGGCTATGGGTTGTCCAGTAGTATTGACCACACCGTCGGCAAAGAAAACCTCGTCAAAGTTGGGTGGCCCGAATTTATTGGCCTCCTTGGAGGGCATGTCATCTTTGTCGACGTAATCAACAACACCCGGCATGTCCAGAGCATCCGTGTAGTCGATTGACAGAATCTTGGCGTGCGGCCTCGAGGACAAGACGTAACAGGCGTGAAGTTCGTTCTTCAGAGCCGGGATATCGTCCGTGTACTGCGCTTCGCCGGTGGTCTGTTTCAACGCCGCGAGGTGAGTTTTCGATTGTCCAGTAACTTCCAGTTTATATGCGTTTGCCGCCGTTGAGTCGACCTGGCCGGATGAGATCTCTCTCTCCACTTCCTTGATGGCTTGTCCGTCAAAATGGTCGCTCTGACCGGCAATGCTCTCTAGGACGTCATGGTAAAATCTGTAAAAGAACCCAAACGCCAACGCCTTTCGGTACGATGCCATGCCTCCAGGTACACTGAAAGTCAGGTCAAAGTCATGTTCCAGCGCGTTCATTGTCCCCTCAAGAGTTTCCAACTCAGAAAATCGCTTGCCGACAATATACTCCATTGCCTTTTTGGCGGCCACGGTCGTCGCGGCCATTCCGCCGTAGATGAAGTTACTAGCAAGGACGATACCCTCGTCGCTCAGCTTCACCTGCAAGGCGCCAGTCACAATGGCGATGTCATCGTCCTTGCGCTTTGACTGCTTGTATGCCCGAATATACTCGCCCTTTTCAGCCGTGATTGGAATTCTTATGGAGGCGATGATTGAGTCTTGCGGCAGTGCCGTCTTCCGGTATCCAGTGAAAAACCGCGACATGGGTATCTCGGTCTCCTGGGTTGCTGACTTGGCAATGATGATACTGTTGGCGGCCCAGAGCACAGGGTTAAGATCAGAGATGGGCGAAGCGGTGTTGAGGTTTCCCGCGGGCGAGCCAACGTTCCGAATCTGGCGGCCAGCGAAAAGTTTCAGCTGCTTCAGCATTGCTTTGAAGACCTGTGAGCGCTGTGGTCCGTATTTTTCAATGGCCATTTCGCAAATCCGTTCTAGATCGGTCAACACCACATTCCCGCCTATCTCGAGACAGTTTTGGTTGAAAGAGTACTGCCGTAGCTCGGCAATGTCGCCCACGTATACCGACACTGGGTAAGAGATGGCCTTGAATCTTGTCTCGATGTGAGTTTCAGTACTTCCGCCGATAATCTTGGCTTGCGGGTAGACCTTCTTAATCAGAAGCAGCTGATCCAGAGTCACCGGCCGATACCAAGTCTTCCTTTTATTACCGAAAGCCAGGGGTCGCATCTGATGCTTCTTCAAAGCAGGCGGGAATATCAATTCTGTTTCGGGATTGTATTCGATAAATCCAGGAGGGGTGAATCGTTTGACAGGCTGGTCACCACCAGAACCGTTAGAGCCATTTACTTTGCAGCAATCGGCACCCTTTCCACAGACTCGGTCGACGCTAAACGTTCGCGTAGTCTCTCCAATGGAAAAGTACCCAGTGCATCGGCATAGGTTGCCGTCGAAAGCCTCTTCAATGTCCTCGTCTGTAGGTGCTTCATTATTCCTCAGCAGGGCGTAGGCACTGGCGATGAATCCAGGAGTGCAGAATCCGCACTGCGAACAGTCGCCCTTTGCAAACCGTTCCTGTATGGCATGGGGGCGTTTGCTGCTCCCGATGCCTTCGACAGTGATGACATGCTTCCCGTCGAGACTGACCAAAGGCGCCAGACAAGCGTTGATGCTTGCGTGGTAGATCTTTTTTGTTGTAGGATTATACTGGCTGACGACAATGGTACAGGCACCACAACCTCCTTCACCGCATCCCCTATCCCGTCATGTTAGTCGGTCTTCACGATCAAGGAGTCCGAAACGTACAATTTAGTGCCCGTGAGGCCGATCCCTCGAAGCCATTCTAGGACGGTGATTTCCGGGTCAATATCATCTAGAGTGACGCGCGTGCCATTGAGGAAGAAGCGTAGACAGTCGTCGTACTTGGCGGTCAGAGACGCCAGAAGCTCAGGGTGCGAACTCTCCTCGTCCGCGGTCGCACTCGGTGCCATCCTTGCGCGGGCTGTCTTTAATGGTTCTCGTGTCGTTCAACGTCAAAATTCCTTCCAATTTCCCAATTAATTCAGATAGGTGCTACCTCTTAGCAGGTAGTTAACGGTGGGAGTCGGTGAGTGCAGGTGAGACAATCAGAGATAGTCGCACACAATACACAAAAATCAAGTTTGTCTTCTATCGCTCCTTCCGTCTCGGTATCCCCTTCGAAACGATATCTAGAATGTAGGAAAGTGCAGAGCTGGGGATGACAAAGCTATCATTTTATCATGTGGCGAGGGTCATCGAGGTGAGGCAAGGCCTTTGTCAAATCAGGTCTCAGGAGGGTGCCAATCCACCGCTCCAGCTCGAGTTCTGGGGTTCGTTCTAGCCTGCTGCAGCCACGGCGGAGGTGTCAATCAAAGGGCAGAGGCAAGATTGGCACCGTGTCAGAACTCCCTCCAATCTGTTCACACTCGCCCGTCCACATGACGGAAGATGGCCACCTATGTGCAACGTCCAACTGCCTTCCTAATCGCTTCCCCGCGAATCTCCACGCCAATGAGCATCATTCATCTCGATCTAGCGCCTCCCCACATAAGCCAGATAACAGCGACAGGCATCATCATTTAGACAGCGGCCTATTGGCTGCGTTGCTCGCGTCGGCCGGCTCCGTCATCGACTCCACTCCATCGGCATCCTCCACCTCAAAGCGATGATAGCTGTGACTTGGTCCTGTAGCTACATACACCAGCGCTTATCTATGTACAATCTCACCGGGAATCGCCAGATAAATCGGGCAGGTGGTTCAGAGATACGATCAACATGGGTCTGATTGGAAGCCAGAGTCAGGGCCCGACGATGGACTGTGATCCATTCAAGCAACAAATCTCAAATCAGAAGTATCATTGTTTGACTGTTAAATATTTGTCACAAGTAAAGCTAAATAAGAAAGGCAAATAATAAGTTTCCACCTCGTGTAATTGGCCATCTCCTCAAACAAGGAGGCTCAGTCGGTGTGGCAGTCGCCGAGCCCAGCAAATAGAACCTCATGGTTGTCATGACTTGCTGACGAGTAAGAGTGACCTCTACTTTGAAATACTTTATTTTTAGATGCGCGACTTCGGTTGGGACGTCGACTGTATTGATCAAAGCGATTGCGTTGGGGTGTCCTCTGAAGATATTAGCAGCCATGTCGGGTGAAATCCATCCTACTATACTCACCCTGATCTCTTAATATCAAGGGGTGATAGTACTCACCTAGAGACTCAAATACCTTCACGGGACAAATCAGAATACGCATGCAAGTTCTCAATTGAATTTCACTCCCTGAAGCCTAGCTACTCACGGTAGGAGTACACCAAGATCTGCCATTCTTGAGTAAAGCAGAGCAGAATCATGTCCAATAAACCAGCAAGACTACTCATCTCATTAGCATGATTTCTCAGAGCTATTACAGCATCTATCACTCCGCATATTATGCAAGCCATATCAAAAAAGGTCCGAGATCAGGCATCGCGGCCGACGCCGCTTGCCGGCGCTAGCTCCGCTTCAACAGTTGAGGCAGGTATGAAAGATTCTCCAGAGTGGGCCGCGATGAGTTTTAAACTAGATACTCATTCTAGAGCATATACTTGATGCTCATTTTGCTTTCACTCAATACGATAGTGTCACCGGCATGTATTGTCTATAGCTAGTTGTCTATCCATCAATGACTTTTCTTACTCCTGAATGTATTTCTTCAGCCCCCGCAGGCGGTTCTTCGCCTCCTCCAAGACGCTATCCTCCTTGCAAACAGCAAAACGGATATAATTCTCAGCGAGGTGTGCATTCTCGGCCGTGTAGAACTCAGTCGGGGGGATGGCGGCCACGCCAACCTCTTGGATCAGGAACCACGCGAGCTTGAAGTCCCGCGGGCGGTTAATGACGTGCGGCGGGAAAGGATAGTCCTCGGGCAGCTTGACCTTGGCCATGTTTACGAGCACAAAGTACCCGCCCTCTGGCTCTGAGTAGGGCATGCCCAGCTCATCCCAGACAGCATTGAGCCTATCCAGTTTGCCCTTCATCTCCTTGATCGTCTCGTCCCAGAAGCCCGCCGCCTCAGCCTTCTCGAAGCCGACAGCGCAGGCCTCTTGCAGAGGGGAAGGAGTGACGAAGCAGATACGGGTGTGAGCAGCTGACACGTACTTGATAAGGTGCTCAGGCCCAATCAACCAACCTATTATGCGAGTTAGAACTGACCATGATGTCTTACCCTTTTCCTCGACTTACCCACTCGCCAGCCGGTGGCGTAGAAGTTCTTGCCGGCAGATCCCACGGTGAGGGTCAGGTTGGCAATCTCAGGGGACAGTGATCCAATTCGCGTAAACGGAACATAGAAGAGACGGTCGTAGACCTCATCAGACAGAATAATGATCTCGTGCTTGACGCACAAGTCTCCAATCTTCTGCAACTCTTCCCGAGAATAGACCTTTCCAACGGGGTTGTCTGCCTACTCGTTAGCCTAGAATCTTTCAAATGCTCGCAAGGAGTAGACTCACGTGGGGTGTTCAAAACAATCATCTTAGTCTTGGGTGTGATGGCCTTCTCCAACTCATCAAAGTCGATAGTCCAGTCGGCAGCAGATGAGGTCTTGGTAGCGCCAGTTGCAGGGGGATGCATGGGCACATACACCACCTTGCCACCAGGCATCTCAATGTTGGAGATGTACTGGTCAAAGAAGGGCTCAAAGACAATGACCTCGTCCCCATCCTCGATAAAGGCCATGAAGGCACTCAGCATACCTAGAATATTTGAACCACGTACATTAACAAGGCGTTCAGACTACAAGGCACACCGAATAAATGCACGTTAGAAATGGCAACCTGTATCTCACCTTCATTGGCACCCGTTGTGACAGTCACCTCAGTCTCGGGGTTGATCTCGCGGCCCCAGAATGGAGAGTAGGCATCGGCAATGGCCTTCTTGAGCCGAGGACGTCCCTTGGTGTGACAGTACTGGTTGCAGTCAACACGATCCAGTGCTTCCTTGGCCGCGTCAAGAAGGAAAGAGGGCGGGTTGTAGCCGAAGAAGCCCTGTCCCATATTCACAATGGGCTGCTTGGGCGAGGCTGCCGCAGCTTCGTTAATGATAGACCTTGCATGCGCACCAGTCAGAACCCCGCGGACCGTCTCATCAAGTTATAATAAAGTCTCACCAGACATCTTGCCGTTGGCCAGACACCCTGGCTGCAGGCTTCAACTTTTGACTCAGGCCCATGCTGATTGTAGAATGGCGAAAACCCCTTGTCAACGATGGCACTATGGCTTTGGTTGGAGTTGCAGTGGTGAGAAGTCGAGAGCGCACAAGAAGAAAAGACGACATGGAGGCTACTAGTAATCACTCACTTGCCGATTGCTTTGCTGTGAAGTGACCCCGGCTCTCCTAAGCAGTTGAGCGAGTGGAGGGGTGAGGGGCACACGGAATGGGTAGAAAACGTGCGGGCTAAGTTGCTTCCTTTTTTTTCTTTCCCTTGCTATACTACGTACACAGCAGACTCACGCTCGGCAACGGGCAGCGAAATCATGCGCCTAGCGAAGGCTTCTGGCGGATATCCAGCGAAAAAGGGCAACAAGGGAAATAGTCCGTCGCTGCTGCCCGAATTGCGACATCACTAGCGACGCACAGCCAATAGACGTGCGGAGTGACTAAGCATTTGCGTGGGGCCTTTCGATGGCGTCAGCGGAGGAGCTCCGTTTTGCTCCAGCCAGCCCCGAGATCGGACTGCACGCTGGAACACAGCCGACAGTATCACAACGGCGGAATGGACATGGCAAGGTAAAGAGCTGGTGTGCATTCAAGAGGTGAATTCATACTCATAAGTTCCATTTGGTCAGCCTCTGGCTGGCTACAAACTCCAAGCGCCTACCGTTTCCGTCAAAAGAAGTTCTTCATCGTACAATGTGAATGCAATTCCACAACTCCCCATTGACCGTCTCAAAGATCAAAACACCCATTATGCATGCCTTCCTCCGTAAAGCCCACATGCTGCATGTCATCCGTCCAACGCCATTAGCCTTCGTCAAGGCCAGTAATAATATTAATAAGCAATTCCAATCCCCTCCCATTCGGGGAACAGGCGACAATGCGGATAAGTATTCTCCAGGCCGAAAAGTAAAGAACTTATAATATAGGGGCGGGATGCCCTGACTTGTGATGATCAATCACATCATTAGTTGGCACCAGGCTTTTCAACCACACGGCGAAGGTTCGCCATCATTCTCTCCATAAACTCCATGGATTCTCGTCCAGGGACATCGGGAAAGTCCTGAACTTCGCCGCTAGAGTCGTGTTCGATTTCGTCGATGCTGCCCTTGGTTGGAGTCAACGTCGCCTGTTGCGGTATCTGCGTATCGTCGCTCATGGCGACAGGCGTTGTTGCAGTAAAAGGGCCGGGCTGGACCTGGATTGACAGTTCCGACTCCTTGATTCCAACTTGCGTTGGCGGGTGGGCTTTTGCTGCAGCTTGATGAGGCGTCATCCCTGAAAATTTAGGTATAGGCACAGGCGTTACAGTCCTGTGCGGCGTGATCCCCGCCACTGTTATCGATCGTTCTCCTTTATCAGCCGTAGGAGTCGAAGAGGCTGACACCTCAGAGCCCGGGGAGCTTGTCCCTTTCGACGTCATGGCGGCCAAAAAATTTGGCGGCAAAGGAACGGGTGACTCCTTTGCGGGAATCTATGTGCGCCATGTCAGCATGTATGATCTTCAACTTATCTCGGCGCACCTTACCTTGTACACTTTCGGGGCTGGAGGTTGCTTAGACTTCCTAGCCGGCGGAGTTGTCGTTGATTGTGGACTTTGGCCCTGTTGCTGTGTTGTGGGTATGATCTGCTGTCCGGTACTCGATGGCATCCGATAACCCGTGGCAACAGTTATTGACTCGGGTGGCCCAGCTTGATAAGCCTTTTGTGCGATGGGTGCTTGAGCACCTTGCGCTACTGGCATATAGGGAGCCGGCTGCATATATCTCAAGAGGTCGGCTTTTGTGGTCGCGGATGGCATCCTATGCAACGAAGAAGTCGAGGTCAAGCTGGCCCTCTTCAAAAGTTCATTTTGATTTTGCTTGAGATAGGCACGCAAATCGCCCTCGTACCCATTCGTGAACCCACCCCATGGAGAGTAGGGGGTCCGATACTTTGATGAGTCCCTAGACTTAGGTCAGAACATAGAGTTTGCAAAAGGATCACCGTTGCAACAGACGTACCTATTATGATGCACTTGGAAGAATGGGTATTTCTGGTACACTGACGAGTGTACCTGCCAGCTAGGTTTCGAAGGATGACGTGGATGCCCCGGCCGGTTGGAGGCGTCTTGGCCGTTGGCATTTACAGTCTGCTTCGCGATAGCAGAAGGGCCAGCATACTGAACCGGACCATGATTCACAGGGGCCTGCTGTGGGTGCTGTGGGTGCTGCGGGTGCTGCGGGTGCTGCGGGTGCTGTGGTTGCTGTGGTTGCTGTGGGGTGGAAGGGACCGATGGCCTAGGCGCAAACAGCTGCTTTGAATACATCCAATTGGAGCTGCCCGGTCCTGTCTGTGAAGCTTGTTGGGGCTGCACATATGGAACAAACATGGTTGCTGCCACTCGCTCCTTTGGCAATGCGGCTGCAGTAGTTGGGGGCACATAGCTGCCAGAGGTATGAAAGGTAGGATTGACTGGAATCCTCGGTTTGTAGATGTATGGCTTGACGACCATACTGTTCGCGTGCATCTGGTTCGCCAGGTGCATCCCTCCTTGTTGACTGTATGGGGAGACATATGGCTGGTAATTTTGACGCCTCACAGAATTTGTAGATGGTGGCTTCGCAGGCTTAGGGATCGTATCAAGGTAGTTGCCCTTGGGGTTATGCCGAGGGTTGGCTGGATCTTCCGTATATTGAGCCTTTGCGTCAGTCGAAGACCGGGCGAGATAGTACCAAATCTGGTCTGGCTTCGCCAGATCAACCTTGACCTGTGCCGGATTCTTTCCAACTTCGTGGAGGTTGAATTCCGCCCAAACACAGCCATCGACGAAAGTGTCGTCTTTCCTCGGCTTTTCATCGCCTCCGCGTTTAGCGTTCAGCTTTGCCTTGGCCTTGTGTGAAGCCGGCATTGGGATAGCTTTTGCAGATGCCTTTGGTAGGTGGTAGTCAGAGGAACCTGGAAGGAGAAGCCATTTCCACTCGACTTCAATTTGGTCACTGCACACGCGTTAGTAGATTCCACCAGAATACGCCATAAAACATACCCATGTGGAAGAATATCGATCAGTAGCGTCTGGTCAATGGCGCGGTTCTCGACCACGATACCGGCAAAAATATCTCCCTTATGATACTGGAACTGGCAGACAGCACCCTTCTCCAAAGACTGAGCAGCATTTCTAATCCTAGAATCCTCCTCGAGGATGGAGCCATCCAACTTCCTGTCTCGCTTTGAACGGTGGAACCGACAGCTAAACTCAAAGGCCTGTTCCTTATACTCGACCTCATCCTCACCAAAGACTGGAACATCTCCTTCCTCCACGAATACACCGGCTGCGGCCGCACAAGTCGCATGGTAAGCTCTGGCACATTTCTTCTGTGAGCACTGGAAGCATGCGCCTCTTTTCGACCGACAGTACAGGCACTTGAGCTCGGTCCGATCCTTGTGGATACCGGAGACGTTCGATACGACTTCTTTTCCATCGACCAAATCAATATAGGTCTCGGGCAGGTACAGAGCACACACGCGGTGCGCTCTGCGTCCATCATCCGTCTGTAGCAGCTCCATGGCAGAGACGTCATTTGGACAAAGGCAACAGGGTGGTTCGGCCCTGGACTTCAGGCGTAATTTGATCCTCTTCTTCAATGGGGACTTGTCCTCCTTGCCGTTCTGATCTCGTTTTCTCTTGCGTCTGACCACCTTCACGGCGTGTCCTGCTGGTGGCGTGGGCAGCCTACTATCCTCATCTTCTTCCTCATCCTCGAAGTCAGTCTCTTCGTACTCAGTCTCCTCGCCGCGGAGCTTGCGTTCAATCTCATACACGTTGATCCATACGCTATCCTGGGCTTGGGCACATTCGCACCGCTTTGCCACCTTTCCCATTTCAAGCCAAGGTTCAAGGGCAAAGTTGACGGCTTCGGCGCAGTTGTACCCTAAATTGTACCCTGAATGATAACCGTAGGGGTAGGTGACCACAAACTCGCCAGGGTACGAGACGACCTTGTTGACTTTGATACCGTAGTGTGAGAGCAGGTGCTGGGGAGAAATGAGAAATCCTTTGTGACGGAGAAACTGGCTGCAAGACTTTGCATCCGCGGGCCAGATGTTTTTCATCGCAGCCTCAAAGCGCCGAGCATCCGCTTGTGATATGCTGTACCACTGCTTCGGGGCACCAAAGTGCACATAGTTGATGCTGTACAGATCGACGTCCTCAAGATGCCATGCAAAGGTTGCTTTCCACATTCCAAAGTATAGATACGCAGTGTTGACGCCGGGAATCTTGGTGCCGAGGACATCAAGCAAATTTGGCAGTTTGTTGAGGTTCCAGATCTCTGTGCGGTCATCGAAGAGGGATCCCATCATGTCGGCGCCGTACAAGGGAGAAGCATACGTCAACGTCTTCCAGTATACTCGCTCCAACTCTTCGCAGCGCTCCGGCGTGTACTCTGAGATGTCCATTTGATAATCAAAGTCCTTGAACGCAGCCTCGTCAATCGCTGCGGAGCCCTCCCGCTTGCTGAATTTCCGTCGCGCAGAAACGGATTGGGTTTTGGTCTTGGGCTGCCTAGAAGCCCCCTTCTGCGGCTCACAGGGTTCGTCGGTTTCGGCATTGGTCGTGAGCGCTTCCTCGATGGAGGCGACAATCCCTTCCGTAGGTTCATCAGGCTCAGCCTTGGGAGAGACAGGAGTCATTGGCCGCTCCTCATCATCCTTCTCGCTCGGACCTCCCTTGGCCCTCCCAGCCCTCCTGCCACGCTTCTTGGGTGCCGATGACACCTGCGTTTTCGGTGCAGCCGCTCGTCGTGGAGGTCTTGGCTTATCGGCATTGGCCCGTCGTTCGCCGCGTCTGGCCGGTGGTTGGTGCTCGCTCTGGTCGCAAAGCTGGCGCCATTGGGGCACATTGTATGATCGGCCGTGGAGAATGTTCACTTGTCGATAGGTACCATTCGATCCCATAATATCTTGTTTGATAGGCTCTCGAACTCTGACAGTCTTGACCAGCTCGTCCAGAGGAGGCTGCTTGTCCTTCCACTCCTTTGGAGGAATGATCTTGATTACGCCCGACTTCATTCCATAGCTATTCACCTCGGTCATCTATAAATGAATTGGTTAGTCAGGTGATCTAGGCCATGCACTACGTAATGGCCAACCCACAAAACGCTTGAAGTCTTGGAACTGGTGCATGGTGGGCTTGAAGACCGGAACGGCCCCAGACCAATGGTCGGGCAGAACCTCTCCAATGTCTTCTTCCACGGCGTCGCCTTGTCCAGGAGAATTATCAGCATCGGGAGGGATTGAGGGCGGAGGCTCCTGGGCCGACAAGAGGGGCTTGTATGCGTCGAGGGATGCCAATTCGTCGTCGAGCTCGCTGAGTTCGGAGTCGCTGACATCTGATTTGGACGTGTTGTTACTATCTGGCGGCGAATGCAGAAACGTCTGCGAGGAATCCTTGGTGTTGTTGAGCTTTTCATCGGGCTGCGCATTGAGCGCACCGCCAGACACTGTTGGCGGTGCGGCTTGCGCCGATTCGATGCTGGGGGCTGCATTCGACATGGCCGGCGATGAGCGTCGCAGCATGCGACCAGCCCATGAAGAAGGCGCTTTTCAAAATCGTATTCGTGTGGGTTTTTGGCAGGATGTGCGCAAATCTTTTCTTCGCAGGCTCTTCGGGGAACACAAACCGCTGTGACCGGCTGTGAAGAGAGATGCATACAGATCGTCGGGCCTGTTGGAGGGAGGGAAAGCCTCCAAGGCAGGGGGGCTCTACCTCCAGCCTGAGTTCACTGGGCAGGTACGGGCAAAACCGTAGAGATGTTACTTGACCAAGTATCTCGGAACTGGCAGGTACCTCTACCTCGTTCGAGGTAAACCTAGCGAGGAAGGTTTCGACTTTTAGTGCTGAATGAGTGTTAAAGTGGAGCTGGCCCACTCGACTAAGAGTATCTGAACCTCTGGGTACCTGGCTCGGTGTCCCCTGTGTCGCACAAACACTTGTTGGCCTAGCATGACAGGTTTAGACGATTTGGTGTGTGCATGATGTCCGCGTGCTTTCATCTGCTGTCGCCCCTTGAGCTCGGGGTCACGTTTTAAAAGCCTGGCCTGAGAGCGTTGACTTTCCAGGATCGGCCCATTTGCAGCTTGCAAATTCCGAGCGCTGGCATACTAATTGGCAAGTCGCTCTCGCTAGCACCGCGATACAGAGTCTAAGTCCAGGGTACTTGGCTGGGAAGTACCTAAACTCCTGTGCATGCCTGAGGCCAACGCCTACTACCCTTCCTTTCCCTTTTGGTCGATGGCCTCGATCAGTGGTAGATTGATAAGATTTGATTTCGGTGGGAAAGAGGTTCGGTCTGGCTTTTTGCCTGACTTAGTAATATCGAGAGACACCTCTTAGTTTAGTTTGTTATCAGGATGAATCAAAGTGTTCATTTTCACATGCAGTGTCGAAGCAGACCTCCTCCATTGATAACCCTAGGTGGCCCAGCGCCCAGGTCCCATCAACTCTTTCCGAAAGAGAAAAAGGCCGACTGGCTTGGATGAAGCATTTCCAGTCATAGGCTGGCAGTTTGGGCGAAGAATTGTTGAAGGCATTGAAGATGAGGCTCCAGTGGATAAGCCAGTCATGATCCAACCCAAAATCCACTGCCATCAGCGTGCCTAAGTAGCTAAGGTAGGCAGCACCAAGAGCCACATGGATCCTTCAATTCCGCCCTGCTGATGATCGGAACCCAGATGGCGAACATCGATGAGTGCGATGAAGTGGAAGCTACTCAATCGAAAACGCCTATTACATGGGCTGTGGCAAGGACCACACGGAGACTCACAACCCGGACCGATCTTCAGAGCTGCCCGTTTGCAAGTGTCGACCACGTCAAACTGTCCGAAGACTGAATAAGATGTTTTCTCATTAGGTATGCGCAGCAAAGAAGATACATGGCCAAAGCCGTCGACTCGATAGACACAATGCGAATTGAGGAGGTACCATGCGGCAAGAGGGGAACAACCCCACGCGCACACATGATCCGCAGCCCCTCATCTCTCGATGCTGCTGGAACCCCTCCCTGTCTCGAGCATGAGGCGGCAACTTCACCTCATCGCGATGCTTGATTGGTCTTGCCAAGACAGATACGAGCTGCATGCTACATTACCAGCATCGTCCACGCTACTGCCCACCAGGACCCGCACACCGTAGCAAAGTGGTGTGCCCCTCTGTGCTTACAATGACCACATAGGCTCTCGCTGCTGCATATCAGCGGGAGCTATCCCGGGCTTTAGGTGGTAAACAATATGCAAAGGCAATGAGTGCCCTGATTTGATAAGCTTGCAGCACGCCAGAGCTGAATATACAGCCTCTGCAGCTTCGCTCTCCGCTGCTGGCCCCTCTTCTCCCAGCCTTGTGAAATTGAACATGAGGACATTATAAGGTCACAGAGCCCGCTCATCTGCTAGCTATTGGATTTCGAATTACCAGCGGTTTCCCCCAGTGGTTGAACACAATCGATATTCTCCTCCACTATGCTCACATCTGGATTAACCGGAGCCCTTTGGGCAATGGCCATTACCCCGCTGGTCTTCGCTCAGACCCAGAAGGACAACACTAGGGTATGGGCTGTGATCGCTTATGTTCATCATGGCGAAAGCGTCCCAGAACTCAGCACCCGCCCTGCCGTGCTCACTCCGGAAGGGGCTCAGCAAATGGCGAGGCAAGGTGCAGCTTTCCGATCGCGATACCTGAATGAGACGTCGTCCAGTGAGGACAATTCAACCACTAACTCGACCGGGTTTGCACCTATCTACGACATGCAGCTAGCTGCTCTGGATAACTCTAAGCTCACAGTGATGGCTGCTGAAGAGGAAGCTTCAGTTGGGAGTGCTCTGGCGTTTCTTCAGGGACTGTACCCACCGGTCACGCAAGAGTACAGTATACTCGCTGGTGGAGATGAGATAGCTCACAATTTTGCAAGAAACAGTTCTGCATTAGTTGACTATCCCTTGGGTGGGTACCAATATCCTAAGCTGCAGGTACCAGCTACGTCCGATCGGAATTCTCCAAGGTGAGAACGGTTGATAAGTCTCTCCTGAAGTGGCATCCGTAATTTTAACCGATTCAACAGTATTCAAGGAAATGTTGGGTGCACCAAATGGACAGCAGCAATAAGTTCTACTCTACGAGGGCGGCAAGACATGAAAGACCTATACGATGAGAGTGCCTCTTTATATAGGGATCTTTTCGCATCCGGACCATTAAAGGGTGCCATCACCAATGAAACCGCCAATTTCTGGAATGCTTATGAGATTTACGACTACGTCAACTACTTATATCTTCACAACGAAACTACTCATGAGGGGCTTGATAATGCGAATGAAACATTAATGAACCTCAAATCATACGCGTATGCGATCCAACGTGGAAAATATACCGAGTCGGTAGATGAGCCGGATGATGCAAAGAACCAGCTCTACAGCGTTGCCGGACGAACCCTAGCATCGAAAATTGTCAGCCAATTTGAAAATGTGATTGCCAACAGCGCAAAGCAGAACAAGCTAACCTTGATGTTTGGCTCCCTCGGACCCATGCTATCCTTCTTCTCCATAAGCGGGTTGATCAACCGAGAAAACGTCAGATCCGGCGCCTTCTCCAGTCTTCCGGAACCTGGCTCGGCCATGATCTTTGAGCTCGTTGGAGACGTGCCCAGGAAGTACGAGACGAATCTCGACCCCGAAAAGCTGCAGATTCGATTCCGATATCGCGCGAGTGCTGATGAGGGCGAGAAATTTGCAGATTATGCTCTATTCAATTCCGGATACGGGGCATCCACAGTCTCTTACACCACCTTTTCTCGACAGCTGTCAAGCAAGAGTGTCAATTCTACTGAGTGGTGTGACGTCTGCGGCTCTACCACATCCTCATGGTGCGAATTGTCCTCGGCCTCGGATGAAACCGATAGCAGCGGCATGTTCACAAGGAAACAAAGCATACATCCGGCCATTGCTGGCGTAATCGGGGCTCTGGTCATGGCTGCGGTGATGGGACTCGTCGTGTTGGCTCTGTACATGGTAGCCGGTTTCCGGTTGCGCCGCGTGGGAGCAGATGAACGCAAAAGGACATTCGGCGGTTTCAAGCGTGAAGGGAAGAAACCTAGCGACACTGACGTTAATGTAACGCAAGCGGGTATGCACCATGAGCGCGTAGGTAGCTGGGAGCTTCGCGGCCACGAATCGCCCATTCCGGGTTTGGGAGGAGTTATCACTAAGGACTTCTCAAGGTCGGTCACAAGGAGGATTGATGATGATGATGACCAGATTAGTATACTGGGTGCTAAGCCTGCTGCCGTGCGAGAAGCACTGTAGAATATGGGAATGGTTCAAAGAGCCTGGAAGAAGTGTGTTCAATTTCTCTCTTTTATCTTCATTTGGTCGTTCTGATGGCAAGATTTGGAATAATGAATATAATGATGATGATGATGATGATGATGAGATTTGACTTGAATGTCGACGTGAGACACGCAAACTAGCTGAAGCCATACCACGACATGTTAAAGAACTTATGGGAGCTTAGTTTGGTTTTGGTCGGATTGATTACTCCTGATCGAGTCCCCGTAAGAATAAAGTGGCCCTTGTCGGGTAAAAAAACGTCTGCCCTTTCATTAAACGCCAACAGAGCGAACGCGAGGTGTCAGAACGACGGACCATCGATAATAACGACCTTTCCTGTAAGCATCCCTCCCCACGGTTTCGGCACAGTTGGGTGATGGACCAGGCAGACCCTTGCAAAGTGGGTGTTGGTTGATGAAGGGAGCGCCAGCCTAGAACGCCGCTTGGCCTGCAGGTCATACGGCTGCATGTCGCGCGATGTCCTTCAATTTTAGATCTTCCCGCTCAAGCAATGTTAGATTAGATCATGGCAATTTCGCACTTGAGAAGGGCGTGCTTCTCCCATCCATGGCTGGCACCGTTCGGCGGTTCTGCTTGTCGAGCTTCATCTCAGCTAACCTCAGCTGTACTAGGGAGACGACGCTCCATGGCTCATAGCCAGATCTCGACTCCGGAGATACAGGGCCGGCACACATTCAAGTACACCCGTTTCACGGACTCAACCTCAATCCGCATCCTGACTCTGTCCCCGGGCCGGCCTGGTGACCCGCTTCGTGGTGAGCTGTCCGTCGAGGACCTGGCCTCTGCCCAGCCGTATGAGACTGTGTCCTATGTCTGGGGTCTAGGGGGTCGCTGCGCAGAGCTCATATGTAACTCGGAATATCTTTCAGTCACTCAGAGTGCCCACGATGCCCTCGCTCGCATTCGGTCCCCGGACACCCCGAGAAGGGTGTGGGCGGACCAGATCTGTATCAACCAGGACGATGTGGCGGAGCGGAGCCAGCAAGTCCCCCTGATGAATTCAATATATCACGGCTCCGACCGTGTGCTGGTGTGGCTGGGTAAAGATCCAAACGGTATTGCTCCAGAGGCAATGAAGATGGTGAGGTATTTAAATACCGTTTTTGGGGATGAAACAGCACATCAAACCTTCCGACAACAGTACTCGGAAGAGCTCTTGGCTCAAAACAGAGAGCCTTGGATCCCGCTATCCAAACTTACAAAGTTGCCATGGGTAAGCGACACTCTTACCGAAGTCATTACTCCAACCCTATTTTGTATCGAATTGCTAATACACTGGGGAAAGTTCTCTAGGATATGGATCGTACAGGAAATTGGCACAGCTTCATCAGCAACCCTTTTCTGGGGTGATTCTCAAATCGAATGGGATGAACTCTCATCCGCGGCCGCTGTACTGAACGTTGATTACCACTCGCTCAGAACTCACTTCCAAATCTACACGCCGTCGATCCGCTACCTGCATAAGCGGTTCGTCGTCCCAGAAGCAGCCCATGATGATTCCCACAACCGCGGGAACTTCATATACGAGCTTCATCGCGCAAGGCATATGGAGGCCAAGGATCCCAGAGACCGCGTTTACGCATTTCTGGGCCACTACACCATGCAAACAAACGGCAGTGCCCTGGCGTCCTTGAAGCCCGACTACAGTCGGCTAGTCGAAGAGGTGTACATCGACGTTGCGATTCGCAGCCTCAAAGACTCCTCCTCCCTCATCCTACTCGCGGCTTGCCAGCCCTGCGGCTCGCCGAAAAGAATCGCCCGCATATACCGGAGGCGGGTGTACGTGCCGACCTGGGTCCCGGATTGGAGGATTCTGCCGTTGCACATGTTCGCGAGCCCTACCACCCCCCACAAGGCATGCGGTGATACCTCCCCGAGGCTCGACATTGACGAGAACAAACGGCTACTCCATATAGTCGGTGTGCGCGTAGATACCATCTCACGCTGTTTCCGAACTTTCCAGAATGGCGATTTCCAGATGCAGAAGACAAAACGAAAATACGACTCGCATTATCCAACATCTTTCGAGGAGATGTGGACAAAGGTGACCGGGCAAAAGGAGATCTCCCTGAACGCCAGATATAAGCGCACCAAGGAGCCGGCATTCGTCGCCATGACGCAGACCCTGACCAACGGCTGCATCGGCGTTGATCGCTCACAGCCCTATGAGGAGATCCCGACGTCCAGGTGGACGGCTGCGGCCGCCTCCTATCTTCTGCACATCCGGGACGGAAACTACGCCGGTATAACTGAAGAGGTACAGGCGCTTGCTGCCGAGGGAGAGCCATTCAAGTGGAGCCATGAAGCTACGCTCGTCACGCGGTATCGCCGGTTCGCCATCTCATCAGAGGGGTACTATGTCCTCGGGTCGGACATGATGGAGAAGGGAGACGTGATTGTCGTTTTGTATGGCGGGCGGACCCCGTTCGTGCTCAGACCCCAAGGCGACACTTGGGCGCTGATGGGTGAATGCTACGCCCATGGACTTATGGATGGGGAGGCGTTTACACTTGGGGAAAAGGAGGAGGTTTTTACGATTGTATGAATAATGATCATCTTAACTCACAGGCTCATGGTTTTCAGGTTTACAACGGCGGACAACATGTCATTTAGTAATATATAACTTATGTTGAAGAAAGGAAAACAGGTTGAGAGGCATGGATGCCCAGCGGAATGACTGTAAGATGTACCGAAACCCCTCTCACTGTTCCAGATAGTAATAACACTGATTGGAATTACTTGGTCTATCTCTTTTCAGAGTGGTTTCGTTGCAAAGGTTCTTGCGATCAATGATTGGTATCGCATTTGCAGAACAAACTCATAGGAAATGACGATCTTTCCATTGGCTTATAACACTACTCAATCAAACTAGACCTGTTACTGATTGATCTTTTTTCAATTCACTCCTAACAGAGAATATTTGATTCATGGCTTAGAGCTTCCAGAGTGTGGGCCAGTGGCACTGTTCGGGCTTTTTACCAGCTTTTTTAGTGTCGCTTATCGAAACCCCACCAAATGGCGATAAGGATTTTTCTCAAGATTTTTTGGTGCCGCTACCATGTACATCATTTCACCGACCATCTTCTCTATACTTGGTCTATCGACACAGCAAACCATTCAAAATGGCGACGCCGTCGTTAGCTGAGAAGTTGGACAAGATCAAGTCCCCTGGCCTCCAGAGCCAGCAGCGGGTAGGTTTCTCCCAGCCAAAATGAACGAACGATCCATGCATGTACTAACACTCCCGGCGCCAGACCGTCGTTGTGCTCCAATCCATCGAGTCGACACTCAAGGACCAGAACAGTGCGCCAACTCCCACGGGCTACTTTGCTGCTCTCCTCGCTCTTCTCCAGCAGGCCAACGCGAGCGGAAACGTCAATGTCGAACTCGCCACGCCCGTTGTCTACCTCCTCGATGTCGTAACACCGTTTGCCCCGCAACCGCTCTTGCGATCCAAATTCACCCAAATCCTCACACTTATTGCGCCCGTCCTCTTGATGCAAGAGGCAGAGCCAATTCTCCTCAGAACATCCATCGGCTGCTTGGAATCGCTGCTGCTTGCGCAAGATGCAGCCTCGTGGGAACTCGGCGTCACACAGATTGGCCCGAGGCGGGCTGTCGCAGGTCTGCTCAACCTCTCCTTGGATCCTCGCCCCAAGGTGCGCAAGCGATCGCAGGATGCTCTCAAGAAAGTTCTCCAGACTCCTCCTCCCAGCCCCTCCTTGGACCATCCGGCTGCCGATATGTGTGCCCAGACTGCCATGAAGAACCTGGAAGACCTGGCTGCCAAGGTTGCTCAGGCGCGCAAGGGCAAAAAGTCATCCGATACCACCAACGAACCTGCCCTGATTCATGCGCTCCAATTGGTCAAGACAGTGGCCGCGGCCAGCGGTGGTTGGCCCAGCAAGAAGATTGAGTCCCTGTGCGAATTGCTCCTGGGCATCGCCAAGACTGGAAACGAATATATGACCATGGCTGCCTTTGATATCTTTGAACTAATCTTTGAGGGCATGAGCGATGAGATTTCGTCTACCAAGCTGCCAAGGTTGATGGAAATTATTTCGGAACTGCGCCCTTCGGCCACTGATACCCAGCTTGTACCTCCTTGGCTCGCAATTCTGTCAAGAGGCTACGATGTCTCTGCCCAAGTCGAGCCAGAGGAGACGTTCCAGAATCTCCCCAACCTCTTCACAATGATTACCCAGTTCCTGCAGTCACCTGCTGAAAACATCCGAATTTCCGCTTCGGAGTGCTTGGTTTCCTTCATGGCAAACTGTGTGCCCTCTCAGGTGATCACCGAGCCATCTGTGTACGACGAAAAGATCCTTGAGAAGATTGCCAAGACGGCCGAATCCCTGCTCACTGTTCAGTATCAGGCGGCTTGGCTTCAAACCTTCACCGTTCTTGGTGCCATGTTCGATGCTCTGCGCTGGAGAGCCCACCCCATCTTGTTGGGGGTTGCTAAGACTGTTGGTGAGATCCGCGAGAGTTCTTCTTTCCGTAACAAGAAGGAGGCAGACGAGCTCATCGGCAAGGCCATCCGTGCCATGGGACCCGAGGCTGTTTTGTCGGTATTGCCCCTGAACCTCATCAAGCCCGTCAAGGGCCAGAACGGCAGAGCTTGGATGTTCCCCATCCTCAGAGATTATACCAGCAACACCAATCTCAACCATTTCAAGAGCGAGATGGTCCCTCTCAGTGAAGTCATGTTCCAAAAGGTTCTCGATCACGGCGAGGCGGCCAAGACCATGGAGGTAAAGATTTACGAGACAGTTGTGCAGCAGATTTGGTCCATCCTCCCCGGCTATTGCGATTTGCCTCTGGACCTGGTCCAGGCTTTCGACCAGTCTTTTGCAGAGATCCTCGCAAACCTACTCTACAAGCAGGTCGACCTGCGACTGGACATCTGCCGCGCTCTTAGAACCATTGTGGAGTCTAATCAGGCCATCGCCGACATTGACGATAAGGAAGAAGAAGACCTCCTCCTCCAAAGCAGAATCACCCGCTCCACCGCCCGAGAAAACCTCAAGCATCTGGGCGGGTTCGCCGGAAACATGCTTGCTGTCCTGTTCAATGTCTACACCCAAACACTGCCACAGAGCCGAGGCCCTATCCTTCAGACCGTCAATGCATTCCTGAGCATAGCGCCCGAAGCCGAGGTCATGGAGACTTTCAACCGAGTCAGCCAGATGCTGGCCACAGAGCTTCAAAATGCCCCTCAGCAGAGCGAGAAGGACAAGTCACAACAAAAGCCCAAGGATCATATGCCTTCCACCGCACAAACCTTGATGGATCTTGTAATCACAATGTCTACCTATCTCCCCAGGGAGAGCTTCGCCTCCCTGTTTGAGATTGCCTCGGTGGTTATTTATAAGCAGGAGGAACCTCAATTGCAAAAGAAGGCATACAAGCTCATTCCTCGCTTGGCCGGCTCTGAGATTGGTCAGGCGGCACTTCGGGAAAGGGGCTTGGAGCTCCAGAACCTCTTCATCTCGAGTACTGAGAAGGTTTCCGCCCCCGCCAGGCGCGAACGTCTGGCGGCCATCATCACTCTCCTTCCATATGTCAACGACGACTCCCTGCATTTCATCCCAGCCATCCTGAGCGAGGTTGTTATCTGCTGCAAGGAGAACAATGAGAGGGCGAGAGAAACAGCTTACGAGTTACTGGTCCAGATGGGACACCGCATGATCTCCGCAAACGGTGCCCAGATCGACAACAGCAAGGTCCCACACATGCCCGAGGGAGCCCCCGCAGGAACGGCGAATATCGAGGAATACTTCACCATGGTCAGCGCCGGTCTGGCAGGAAGCACCCCTCACATGATCTCTGCCTCCATCACAGCCATCAGCCGTCTCCTCTTCGAGTTCGGGTCGCAGCTCAGTGAACAGACTCTGTCCGATTTAGTCCAGACAATGGACCTCTTCCTGACGTCCAACAACCGCGAAATCGTGAAGAGCTGCCTCGGCTTTGTCAAGGTGTGCGTCATCGGCCTCCCCGTCGAGCTCATGCTGCCCCGTCTCTCCACGCTCGTCCCCAACCTGATCGTCTGGAGCCACGAGCACAAGGGACACTTCAAGGCCAAGGTCAAGCACATCCTCGAGAGGATGGTGCGCCGCTTCGGCTACGACAACATCCACAAGAACTGCCCCGAAACGGACAAGAAGCTGATCGTCAATATCCGCAAGACAAAGGAGCGGACAAAGCGGAAGAAGGACGCCGCCAAGACCGCCAACGACGAGGACGACAGCGGCGACGAGGACGAGGACCAGCCCAAGCGGCAGTTCGAGAACGAGTTCGACCAGGCCCTGTACAGCAGCGACTCCGAAGAGGAGGACGACTCGGAAGGCGAGGCGGCGCCCGCCCGACAGGCAGCAAAGAAGAGCCAAAAGGGCGGCAAGACGTACATCCTCGAGGACGACGACGAGCCCCTCGACCTCCTCGACAAGAAGGCCCTCGCCAACATCTCCTCCACCAAGCCCGTCAGGATGCGCAAGCCCACCAAGACCAAGGCCAGGTACGACCCGGACGGCAAGCTCATCCTCGGCAAGGACAGCGACGACGAGAACGACGCCATGGAGGTCGACCAGCCGGAGAACTCGGGCGTCGGGGCCTACGTCGCCGCCCTCAAGGGCAAGGACGTCGCCAAGCGCGGCCGGGGCGGGAAGCTCAAGTTCTCCAACCGCAGGACCAAGGACGACGACGAAATGGAGGAGATGGACGACGGCGAGGCCGCCGCCATCAAGAACAAGATCAGCCCCCGCGGCAACGGCAGGTTCCGAGGGGGCAGGGGGGGAGGAGATGGTCCGCGAGGGGGACGGAGCGGCCGCGGCGGGATCGCCGCCGGGAGACGAGGTTTGGGCGTCGACAAGAGGCATGGGCCTTCTGGGGCGGGTGTCGGCAAGGGAAAGAGGGGTGGTCGGAGGTGAGGCGTTTAAAAGGATTTTTCATAGAGCTGTTTTTTTGCTCTTCAAGCATCTACCAATTCATAGGTAATACCCGCTCACTATATATATGATTCTATCATGACCTCTATCAGCGCGAAACGCTCAATTTATCACTGAAATCTTCATTTCGAATCTTGACCTGGAAACAAATGATTGACGGCAGTTGTGTGAAATTTGAAATACAGTGAGATCTATTCGGTGAGACTCCTCTATATTAGAAACCCACAAAGCAGCCCGAAACTCCAAATCTCTGAATAGCTTGAAAAAAAATGACAATCCCAAGCCAGGCCATTGGTAGCCAATGGCCAGCAGACAACTCAACTATGAAGCAACCCCGAAAAGCAGAACTCCCTACCGCGTACCAATCATGGTCTTCTATCAAACGCGTGTAATCAATACTTGTGCCAATGCCCGATGGCAACCGAAAAGCAAAAACAGGAGCCAAACACCTGATATGCTGGGTATCATTCATCCTCGCACCACCGTAACACATGTTAACTCTACCATAACATCTCTCTATAAGCAATATTGAAAACATGAACATGAACATGAACATTCCCCTGAAAAATATCCGAATGTGGCTGGCTACATTCAGATGGCATTAACGAGGCAACCCAGTGTGTGCCTGTAAGGACACAGCACGATCATCTAGTCAAGAACAATAATGTCATTCTCGTGGGCTGGTAGACGAGCTTGTTGATTGAGGTGAGGGTTACGGTCTCGAGCAGGTGCCGAAGGGGGCCGGTGAAAAGGATTTGGGCGGTATCGCTGAGGATCCCTTGATTCGTCTGCAGGAATCATACCACCGTAATGTCTATATTGGATATTAAGTTAGGTAAAAGGGTGGTCATTTCCTTTAGGACTTTTGGGAGTGCCCAAGGGCCATACTGCGTGTAGTGATACGGGGGCTGGACGATTCCCTCGCCAGCCCTTTGGGCCCCGGTTTCAGGCTCCATTCTGCGCTGGTAGTTTTGCGCGGGAGATCTAGGAGCAGTGTCGTAGAGGTTCCTGTTGTGAGACCACTGCTGCTCGTTGTAGTCCACAGGCACAAGGCGTGAATAATGTTCTGGGGCAAGTGTGCGGAGCCCGGTTACAGGGATCGCTTCAGCATCTCTAATTCGGCGATTATCTCTCATCGATCTTGGATCATGTTCCTGGGGAATTATTCTGTGGGCTGAGGCTTCCCTCCCTTGGGCCTGGATAGGGTGGCTTGGCCAAATCTCGCCATTCACGGGAGCCGGACGATAAGGCTGGGGATTGAGCGGCACTCTCTCATAGAAACCACCACGGTCCTCCATAATGATAGGTTGATGATGTGAGCCGGGCTTACCAGCATCGACGAAAATTGTCCTGGTAGGAATGGCAGCCGAAGTACGAGCGCCATAAATACTAGCTTCATCGGGATACGTAGGAGGGCGTGGTCCTATTCTGACAAAGTCATTGGGTTGAGGGGAGTGAAAATCGCGAGTCGGTTCGCCATACCCAAGGTGACGTCGTGGCAAGGGGTCTATTGACTGACGTTCACCTTGTACACCCCGCTCAGTATAAACCGCAGCTGCCCTAGGGCTCGACTCCCATGGAGAAGAGACTCGAACCGGGCGTTGCTTCAAGCTGGTGCGAGAGGGAGAATGCTGTACTCTAGGTGGCAAGGCACGTACAAATGAAGGCTGCATGACTTCGGGGGATGCTGGTTCTATCGAGCGGACAAGCATATCTTGAAGACGTGGGCCAAGGGGGGACTCGATACGAGAAACGGTGGTAGAAGGTGGCAGCTCACGGGCAACAGGTGTGGCTCGACGTTCGCGGGGTGAGAGTGCAAGGGAAGCTGAGCGGGGGCGAGGTGGCATATCTAGAACGGAACCAGAACCAGAGCGTCGGTGGTGCTTCGGTACAAACCCATTTGGGTGAGGGACGGTACCCAGAGAACCGAGCAAGTTGCGTTTATCTTTCTTGTCCCTCTGAACGCCGCTGTACGGTGTGCGCCTTTCGATGGTAGGCTTCTCGAAGTCATGAGGGGGGGGCGCATGCCCCTCGCGATTGCGTTGAATTGCTTCTTCCCAGGCTCGGTACCGCTTGAATCCGCGCTGCTCTTTCCTACCTGTTGTTCTGGACTTGACCACACCGCCGGGTTCGGCTCCAGGTCTGACAGAGACAGAGGATCCGTTCCTTCTGTGACGGCTTTGTGGTAAGGTTTTGGTGACGGTCTGTAAGGGCACAGTGCCCGCAAGATCAAGCGTCTTTCCTGCACCAGTCATGGTTATCTCTTCAGCCGACGACTCCTCTGTCTGATCGTCATCGCCATCTTCGTCTTCGGAATCCGAGATGACAACAACCTCTCGCAAGATTTCGTCCAGCTGATCACGACCTGTTTCCTCATCGCCTCGCCACTTGACGAGAATGTCAAGACACAAACCTTCGACCACTTTCCGTGCATTAAGCCAGCTCGTTTCTTTGAGTAATTCATCGTATCTTGTGTGAGTATGGCGAATGTGTGCAAGCACTGCTAGTTGGACCCTCCGCGACAATGGGATGTCTGTGCACAAGCCTACTGGCTTCGGGTGTTGTTTCTTACTCGACTGCGGGAAGGCATGGTTCGTCATCGTATACGGCAAACCTGCAAAATGGATATACTTACCAGATTGAATGATTGCACAAGGATTGTTTGCCGATCAGTGTTGGGGATGCGGGGGAAGAAATCTAAGATTGAGGCGTTTGCCTGGGCTGTATACTCATCCTGGGAGTCTGGCAGTGGCATGGGTTTCCCGTCTGGATCAGAAACGGGCTGAGTGGGGACGTGGGTTAAGCCTGATCTTGCCTCTTCAACGATAGTTTCTCGAATGTGGTGACCTATCCGATGAACATGATGGGAGAGGTTGTTCGGGTCCTCATTATTGGTGGTCTACAGCGCAGGAGGTCAGTAAGTCGTGTGAAGCGATGAGATCCTGGGCGGAGATACGTGCCGAGACTATGAAAATCATGGCATCTTTCTCGCGGGAAAGCTCCTTGCAAGCCGTTGTCAATTCGGGGTTGCCTGAGGGAACGAATTCGAACCCTGGTGGCGGGGTAGTTTTCGTGGTGACCTGATGAGGAGTGTGAGTTGGGTAACTAAGATGGCTCCATCACTATGACTACCTGGAACTCAAGCTTCTTCTTCTTGTCCTCGTTCTCCACGAGCTCAAAGTACGAATGGTGCTTGCTCTTTGTCTTGGGAATGGTGGGCTTTGCAACGAAGCCTTGGGGCATGGGTGCTTTGGGATCCCACTGAGATCTCTGGGTGCGCCTGTGCCTCTCCTTCGGCCCGCTTGAGGCGGCTGATTGCATATTCCGCTTTTCCCTCCCCATATTGATCAGCGACAAAGTATCATCATGGAAGAGATGGCAGATTGGTCCAAATACTGCAGTGTATCAAGGGAAGTCCAGATATCACAGGCTCCAGAAATCGCCAGGATCCAGGATAAAATCACTCGCACGGCTGGATGTCATATACAGAAAGGCAGTCTCATCCCTGTCCGGCTGGCCAGGGTCTGGATGTATGGCGTCGGGGAGGATGTGAAGTGAAAAAGACAACGCGAGCAAAACCAGTTGCTAGTCCTGGGAATGTAACCTTTTGGCTCCTTTGGGTTGAGAGACAGAGAGGCAAGCGTTCAAGCCGGTGAAAGGCAGTACCAGCTATTTGGCTTTTGCGGTGAGAGTATGCTCCAAATAGGCGCTGACCGCCTGACTCAGGCAAATGTGCAGATGCAGATGTTGGGCGTCTACGGGGTCCAAGAGAAGTCGTTGGGCAGTGAAATCGCATCTACAGATATCGAGTGTTGTCAGGTGCTGCGCCGGAAGCGGATAAATATATTTTCCGGTTGACTTGATGTAACATGCTGTCACCCTACCCTGTATAAAACACACGCTGCATTGAATATAGACAGTCTCGGAACCTGATCAAACCTGCAAGTGTCCTGAGCAGACCCTTAAGGCACCAGCGCGTGACTTGTAAGGGGTCTATTGGTTCGTGGTTCTACTAACCTGGTCGTGTGATACTACTTCGTTGTCCATTCGGGCGAGGAATGATCGAAATAGTCGATATTGATCACAAGTAGCATTATTTGCGCAGCCGAGTCCCAGTGTCACCTCAAAAGGGCAGCACCCTAACCAAAAACGATAGATACAATACACCTTACACGGGCATCAACACCGAGGCAGCCCATTTACCGAGTTTGGCCCTGCATGGCGCAATAATCTCACGTTGACGATGGCAGTTCCCAGATGGATATTTGTAGAAAGGCATATTTCACGTGGCGAATGTGCCTCCAGCCCTGCGAAAGCCCCGCGATGTTTGACAAAAGCCGAAGTGATCGGACGGCAGAGAGGCATTGCCTACCCTGTCCGGCATCGTGCTAGTGGGCGCAGAAAATACGAGAAGGAAAGTTTGTCTATTTTAGGGGATGCTACTGAACAAGCCACGGCTAGACTACGACTGAACCAATCAAACGTGTCCACAACGAGCATTAGCCCACCTCATGCCGTTGAATTGTCGAAGTAGACCCGAGACCGAGGCGAGAGGCGGCAGTGCGAGGTGGTTAACCAATCGCCATGGTTGCTGTGACATTGTTGCTGCGCCACCTCTAGCGTGTGGCAGCAGAAATTGACTTTATGAATTTCACGTGACACAGGGACATCATCCATGCTGGAATGGGGTAACAATTTGCACACTGCCACAGCCACACTCCATGAGGGGACTCTAACCGGAAAGGAAATGAAGGGAAGAAGAAACAAGCAGCACTATGCCGGCAGAGTACCGTTTTAGTCAATATATGACGACGAGCCTGCAACGAAACCTGGTCATGCAAAAGACGTTATCGATATTTGGGTTTATCTTGCGACTAGACTTCCCCTTTTCTCTTGTCCTGGGTTGAGTGATGTTGTTGGCTGCAGCTACGAGGATAGTAAGAGAAGGATAAGAAGCAGACCACATAATAATAAAACTGATG